CTTATCTCTGTTGCTGAACACTTGGTTCAGTGTTGAGGGTTGCAAAGTGTATTTATTTATAAGAGTGCTTTTCCAAAGTTAAGTTCTTTAGAAAAAAAACCTCTTTAAAACCCTTAAGTTTTTACAATGAAAACAAGCAGCCTAAACACTGATTATGCACTAATTATATAAAAGGGTTCCACATAGTAATAAAAGATGATTTAGGAACATTTTTCCCTTTTGTTTTTGCTTTTTCTTAGGTGGGGGGTATACATCTGAAGTGCCTAGCCAAACTAGATAGTCAGCAGGTCATTCAAGAGCTTGTTTGTGTCTACAAAGCAACTGAATCCTATTTGGAATTATTTCTCTTCTTCAAAGGTCATGGCTAACACTATTACAGGGTGAACAATACATACTGAAACTTAAAAGGGGGATTTTTCACACATTTTCACTATGGACCTAATGTCTGAGGCCACTTGACTCAAATAAGCTCAGCTGTTTTAAAATTTAAAAAGAAGCCCACTACTGCAATGAGTTTATTTTACATTCAACTTTTTTACTCTACGTACCAAAAGTTTTAATTTTCCAATTACTTAACTGTTTAAGTGAGATAGCTTAATTATATATGGAAACAACTATCCAATATAAGGAAGAAACCAGAGTGAAACTACAGTAATAAAAAAAATTCCACAGCTATACCAAAAGGGTGCTTGCTGAGTTTTTTGTTGTTTGTTTGTTTTTTAAGAGGAGGGGGTAAAGTGTGTAACGAGAGACCCAGCTTCTAATCCCTGCTCTGCCACATACTGGCTCTTTATGCTCATATCATTTAGAACTGATAAATATTCATTTCCACATATGTTAAGAGGAAGTAGCAGTAACTACCTCACAAACTGCAGTGGAGATTAAATAAAATAACGGTGTTAAATTAACCAGCAAACAGTATGTTCTCAATAAAGGTTAATATCCTTCTTTCTCCCCAATGGCCCAGTTTTCAGCTTGTAGCCATTAAACTATACACAAACTATTAGAACATATTCAAAAGCAATCTATGAAAGATATTTCTGTGCTGTTTTAACTAGGTAAAACAGTCAACTAGTTTTTACTGACTATTGGACAGTCATTTTAAAGAGAACTCAAAACTCACAGAAGCTTCAATATGGGTTTTGTCTTCAAAAACTGCTTTAAAAGTAATTATAATATTGCAATAGCACACTATGGAACAGCAGAAACAAGGCCCATCATACCACTCATAATCCTTCAGTTTGTCTTGGAATAAAAACCCAATATCCTTTCAATGCCCACCCATGCCCATCTCCCCTCATCACTCAGACCTCATCTACTCCAATGCTAACACGACACTGTGTGTGTGTGGGAGCCCCATACAAACTGCTCCGGCAACACTGTTCTCAATGTTCCTCAAATCTCTCCCCACTGTATTTCTGTGGGAGTCACTCATTCATCTCCTAGTCTGCTCAAAATTCACCTCTCTGGTAGTGAAGACATCATTTTGCAACCCCACTTCCACTGCACCCAGCACTCTCAATTCCCCTCCCTAACAGGGCTTTTCTCCCATAGCACTTAACACCTTCTAACACAGTAAGGAAGAAAAAGATATACTATGTTTATTATCTCTCTGCTGACTAAAATATAGCTCTCATCAGAGCAGGGATTTTCATCTTTCAGTTAACCGTGTGTGTGTATGTATCCATCCATATCCCCAATGCCTAATGCCTGGCACATAATAGGTATTTAATAAATAATCATCAAAATTAAGTCCCTTCTTTAATTTGCTTTTATATATATATAGTCAAACAAATGTAAAACAAGTTCTTAAAGAAATAATCTTGAACAGACCTATGATCATTCGGACTTATAAACAATGGTATTTGTTCAAAATACAATCTTAAATTTCAAAGTCTGCACATTAAAAAAAAATTAAAAAACAGTAACATCATTAATCATTCATTTAAATTTTGTTATTTAAAATATTCATTAATAATACTTGGGTTTTCATTTTCAAATCCAATTTTCAATCATTTCTACAGATTTCATGTGAGTCAGAAAACTTACTATTTCCCCCAGTATCACAAATACTGGGGGAAATAGTAAGCCAGAAGAAAATAGTTTCAATTCTACAACAAATAATTTTGCAACCTTTAACCTCAAAACCTCCTTGATCCTCAATTTCTTCTTTTGTGAAGGGGGAGTAAATAGATGACCTCTGGAGTCATTTTAGGTCTAAAAATTCTATGATAGTGTGAATAAAAAATGTAGTAGGTTACAGTCTACACACTTCTCACACCTCTAATAAAAGTCACGTGGGGGGCCGAAACCGGTTTGGCTCAAAGGATATAGCGTCGGCTTGGGGACTGAAAGGTCCCGGGTTCGATTCCGGTCAAGGGCATGTACCTTGGTTGCAGGCATATCCCCAGCAGGGGGTATGCAAGAGGCAGCTGGTCGATGACTCTTTCTCATCGATGTTTTTAACTCTTTATCTCTTTCCCTTCCTCTCTGTACAAAATCAATAAAATATATTAAAAAAAAAAAAAGTCACATGGGTGGTTCAGTGATTGAGCTTCCACCTATGAACCAGGAGGTCACAGTTTAATTCCCAGTCAGGGCACATACCCGGATTGGGGCTGATCAGAGTGTGGGGCGTGCAGGAGGCATCTTTTTCTTTCTCTCCCCCTTCCTCTCTGAAATCAATAAAATTGATTATACATATAAATCATTAGAACCAAAATTGATTATATATAAATCATTAGAACCAAAATTTTTATAGTTGAATGGAACTTTAGAATTCATCAAATCCAATTATGTCATCTTACAGATAAGAAAACCCCAAAATTCTGACCACTTTTTAAAAGATCTTCAGAAGTAGCAGAATATTGTCAACTTTCTGAATTACTTTTAAAGTTATCTGAACAACCTTTTTTCTTATACAAAATATTTCAATTATCCCATCATTTAAGCTTGCCCCCAAATTGACAACACGTGACCTAGCAATGGGCTGCATTACACACACAGCAAAACAAAACAAAACATGAGCCCCAAACACTACATTGAGAAACAATTTTAAAAAACTTATACAATTTTTAACCAGAAAATTCTTATGGCCTAACTTCTATTAGGGCCCACGGTGATTTAGTTTCTAAACTAACTGGAGCATACAAGGACAATTCTGGGGACATGATCTGAGTTCAGCCACAGAAGTGTTTTAAATTAGTAATATCTTGTCACCACTGGTATCATTAGATGAGTTATGGCTAAGATCCAAAACTAGCTATTTAATATTAACAAAAGGACAGAGGCTTACAAGCTCCAATCCAAGCTGAACTCTCAGGTGAAGCACAGGAGACACCCGAATGCCTGAACAGGTGATGCGCATTCTCAGGACCTCTGCTTTCAACAGGATGCTGCTGGCTGGGAGGTTACCGAGAACAGAACCCATCTCAATGCCCTCTCGGAGTTCACAGGGAGTTGCATCTCCTCGCTTTAGGCTTACTATACATCCACATGCCACGAATCTGGGAACTTGAGGAGTTATGTCTATGACAGTCACAATACGTAAGAAACTAGAAACTGCTTAGATGCCCTAGCGGACCTTTGAACACCGTACTATCAATCCCAGCACAGACCTGTACTTTATGACAAAGTTTTCTTTACAAGCGGCCAATCTGTAATGGCATTTCCCCTAGAATACAAATCTTGAATACATGGCACACGAAGCGGCCTGACTATAGGACACCAAAAATGTTGCCGAGTTGGAAGCTGGGGCTTAGAGAAGTGTCATTCAGCAGAAATAAGACCCAACTAAAAACAAAAGACACTGGGGCATTCCCTTAGCGCGCGCGCGCACACACACACACACACACACACTATACACACACACACACACACACACACACACACACACACACACACACGCATGCACCCTCCTCAAAGGGGCCTTTATGCTGCCCGTGAGCCCACGGACAACAATATCATTTTTACTGTCCATTCATACCGTAACCTGCCTGGAATGCAACCCAGGCTCGGGCTTTAAGGACAAGCATCGCTTCTGAAAAACACAAAGAGTCAGTCCCACAGAGTCAGCCAGGTACATCACCTCCAAAATGTAAACATAACTTGACCACCTCGTTACATACTGTGTTGTGTCCGTGTCCCTCCCCCCCCCCACCCCCAAACAAGCAAAAACAATTCCCCAAACAAAAACAAAAAGGGAGGGGAGGAAATCACTTAACTGTTTTGTTGGTTTGTTTTGTTTTTTTTTTTAAATCACAAGTGGTCTTTTTAACTGGCGTAATAAAGCAACCACTCCTCCCACCCCCAAGCGCATGAAATATGTGCTCAAAAAGCCAGCAAGTCTGTTTCTCCTCATTTCGGGAAATTAGAACAGGTTGCACTTCCGTACTCTTCCCCCCACCCTCCGCCCGGTCCCCCAAGCCCGGCGTCCCCGGGGCTCTCCGCCGGGAAGTAAATAGCGTCCCCGCCGCCGGCCGGGGGACTCCTCTCCCGCGGGGACGCGCGGGGCGGCGATGGAGGCAGGAGGGGGACCCCCGCCCCCGTCACAGCCAGCCGCCCGCCCGCCTGAGAGCCCGAGCCCCGGGGGCCGGCGCCGGCCGAGGGGAGCCCGGCAAAGTCCTCCCTTCCCTCCGCCGGGGCGGGGGGAGGCTCCGCACCCGGAACCGCGACCCGGTCCGGGCCAGACACAATGGAGCCGGCGGCCTCACTCCCCGCCCCAACGCCTCCCCCCGCGCCCGGCCCGGCGAGGGCACCGGGGCCCGCTCCGCGCCCCGAACTCCCGGGCTCCCGACTAGGCCCGGCTCCGCTCCGCCTCCCCGGCTCTCGCGTAGCGGCGGCGGCGGGAAGGGGCGCCGGGGGCAGGGGCGGCGGGAGCCGGGCCGCCGGGGAGCGGCGCGCAGGCCGCGGGCCGGGCTCGGGCCGGCGGGGTCGCCGCGGGGCGGCGGGGCGGGCGGGTGCGCGGCGGCGGCGGGCGGGCGGGCGGCCGGGTGCCTCACCATGTTGGTGTCCTCCAGGCCTCTCCCCTCCTCCTCCGGCTCCGCAGCGAATGGACGGCGGCGGCGGCGGCGGCTCCTCTCACGGGCTCGCCGGGCTCCCGCTCATGCGCAGTGCGGCCGGCCCGGCGCGGCGCGGCCCGAGGAGGCAGCCCGGGGCCTGGGAGGCGGAGGGGCGGGCGGGCGCCCCGCGCGGGGTTCCCCGGGGCGCTGGGTCTCCCGGGCGGGGGGGGGGGGGGGGGCGGAGACGCCGGCGGGGCAAGGGGGCGACGCACGCCCTCCGCGCGCGCCGACATCCTCCCGCCGCCGCCCGCGGGTCCCGGCGGGGAGGGGGCGCCGGGCACCCGCTTCCTGCGCTCCTTCCGCCGGCGGACCGCACGGCCGGGTCTACGCGGGCTCCGGGGGCGGGAGCCGCGGCGGGGGAGCTGTGCAGCGAGGGGGCCACTGGAAGGGAGCGGACCTGGCGCTAGCTCCATGCCGAGCCACCCAGTCCGTGCCAAAGCTGCAGGAAATAGGCAAAGCCTCCCCCCCACCCCAGTCCCAGCATCTGCACGGCATCGCGTCCCCCACGTGGACCTGCGGGAGGAGACCTCGGTCCAGCCGGGCGGGAGCCGCAGTGCCCTTCAGGGTGGCGCAGGCTCTTCCTGGACACGAGTGGCCACGGCGAGACCCGGAGCAGAGTCCTGGGGGTCCCAGCGAGGAGGACTGGGCGGCCAGCACTCCGCGCATTGGATGCGGCTAGTGGGGGGAGTTGCAGTATCTAAGTTGCCAAGCTGTTTGCTCTAAATTCCCAACCAGTTCACCCTTCCTAGGGTAAGTTTTGGGAAGTAATGAACATATTTTTTCACGACTGACGGACGTCTGGGTGGGTGAACCGTCCAGACTTGGTTCTAAGTCTGGTGAGGATGAGGGTGCCAGGATAGTGAGCTGGGGTCCAGTGGACAAGTATGCTGCAGGCAGTTACAAAAGGCTCTTTGGAGCGGTCCCTGCCCGCAAGAAACTGACTATCCTACTGGAGAGATGAGACACATTACACACACATACACACACACACACACACGCACGGCACGCACGCACGAAGGAAAGAACTGAGAGAGAATAAAGCAAACGTCAGAAAATCACAACCAGGAATCAGCCCAAAGTTAAGGTGTTTCAGAACAGAATCAACCTCAGTGGAGGTGTTACCACCCTCACTTCTAACGCCCTTTCCCCCTACCTCACCCTCCAACACGACCAGGTATAAGCTACCAGATCAACAGTATAACTTGATGACTTTGAAGTTCTTATTAAGGCAGTAGAACTTGGGCAACTCCTGGGGGCCTCCTAATGCTTCTTGAAGCCAACCAATATCAGGAGTTGCAGGACTCTGCCAACACTGCCATTGACTCTGCCATTCTGCCCACTAACCTTTAGTGGGCACATCCTAATAGGCCACACTGCTTGCTAGGCTTTGGGAAGTCAGCTCTGTGAGGACAGGCAAGATCTGCCTCATGCAACAAGGCCCCAAGCTGGGCCACATCCAAGGCCTCTGACCTGAAATAGCAACTACACCTAGGGTCTTAATGAAGAAGATTCACTGTATCTCTTTCCCTACACTGTTATATTTCACCGAGATATCAGCTCTTAAGTTTTCTTAAGCTCCTGCCCAATTGCCATCTCCAGTGGACAGTCCTTAGTTCACATTCTATTTGACCTCTCTCTTGCATTTAGACATTTCCTCGAGTTTCCTCTCCAGCATTTTCCCCCTTCCCCTGTGAGCACTCTCCTTTGCTGACTCAACTCTCATTGGCTCTCCAATGCTGGGTTTTCCAGAACCATCCCTGAATCTCTTCCTGCATACAACCTGTGTCATGCCCACAATGTCAGTTACTACCTTTTTGTGGTTGTTAATCCTCACTAAAGGATATTTTCTCCATTGGTATTTTTAGAGAGAGTGGAAGGAAGTGGGAGAGAAAGAAACATCGATGTGAGAGAGACACATTGATTGGTTGCCTCCTGAACTTGCCCCGACTGAGCCCAGGGATCAAGCCTTCAATGGAGATGCCCTTGTCCAGAATCGAACCCAAGACTCTTCGGTTCCCACCAAGTGCTCTAACCACTGAGCAACTGGCTAGGGCTCAACTACTACCTTTATCGGAGAAGTCCTAAATCTTGGCTTTCAGCGCATTTTGGTCATTCCAGAAGTCCATCAATATTGACAAATCCAAACCTGCTTTTCCTTCTGGCTTTTTTTATTTTTGAGACATATTTTATTGATTTTTTAACAGAGAGAAAGAGAGAGAGACAGAGAATTAGAAACATCGATGAGAGAGAATCATCGATCAGCTGCCTCCTGCACACCTCCAACCGGGGATGTGCCCGCAACCAAGGTACATGCCCTTGACTGGAATCGAACCTGGGACCTCTCAGTCCTCACGGCAACGCTCTGTCCACTGAGCCAAACCGGTTTCGGCTCCTGTCTTTTTACCAAATCATCCAAACTAGACATGTAAGAGTCCTCCACTACTTCTTCTATCTCATCCTCCTTAATCTGATCAGTCATCAAGACTCACTTTTACCTCCTAAATAACTTAGAATCTGCACTCTGCCCTCCCCTCCTCTCCGCCAAGCTGTTATCATGTCTCTTCTCATCTTATCAGTAGCCTCTTGACCAATCTCCTGGCCTCTACTCTTTCCCCATCTCTCTGTAATACAAATCTAAATTTGTTCCTTAAAATACTCCAGTGGCTCCTTAAACTTTAGCTTCTATGGTGTGGTCTTAAAAGGCTTTCTCCCCATAATCTGTCCACTCACCTGGCCACTTCCCACCACCTTCCACAGCACCTCAGACGTCAGCTTTAACAATCCGAAGGTGCCCTACTCCACGTCTCCTTGCTTTCTCTCATTCTGCTATCCTTGGCATACTTGCTAACACTGACCAAGGGCTTCCCATGTACTATGGACTAATTTAAACCCATGATACATACTAACTCACAGAACCCTCGCTTTGATCCTATGAACTATGCCCGGTGAATATGCCTGTTCTGCAGAGAAGGCCCTAGAGCATAGGAGACTAGATAACATGCCTAAGGCTCCTCTGTGGTATGTCGTAGAGCTGGGATTGAAACCCAGATACTGTAGTGTGTCTACAGAGTCTATTCTCTTAACCACCACTCTGTATTCCCTACCAAGTCCTCATACTCAATTCAAACACCACCTCCTCCGTGTCTCCTGATCTCATTCCTGGGGCTAGCACTTCTGTGACACCTTGTACATACTTTGTTACACTTATGACATCACATGATAATCATTTGCCTACATGACCACCTTCCCTGCCAGACTGTGTACAGGCCAGAGACTCAGTTGCAAACATCTTCAAGTTTTCAGTGTCAAAGTGAATGCCTGGCATATATGACACATATATGCTACATGGTAATGGTTGCATAAATTAAAAGGAAGAAGATGTCTAACTGATGTCTGTCGATATGCCTTAAAACTATGCCTACATTGTTTGTTATTGTAATGGAATGTCTGTCCTCCTTGGCAGATTATATTATACCATATGGTAAATGTAGTAGCAACTGTATCCATTACTACACTTCCAAGCTATAGTAGTGAGTGTGAAAAGGAGACTTATTATTCAATCACTGTTATTGAGTGAGGGAAACATTTGTTAAAGTTATCCTGATTATTTTTAAAATAGAAAAATCCTGAAGAGAAAGCATAAATTACAAGATTTGATTAAATAAAGACTATTCATTTAACATGTGTTCATAGTACTTTTTTTCCATCATGAATTTTCAGATAATTAAGGCTTTGAGATTGTTTTGAACACAAAACTCATAAAGATTATCTTCTGTGGTGATGAGCTCAATACAATAATAAGAAATGAGGGAAATTTCTAACTAAAATCTATCCTCATTCTCCCTCTCTCTATAGACAGATATATATATATATATATATATAATATATCTTTATATACACACATATATATTTACTGTACACCTCTAGCTATATAAACAAATTAGTACGAAGTATTTGTGGATGGTGTAATTTTTCCAGGTCAAACAAGCAACTGTTTGAAATAACTGTTACCCGAGATCATTTAGGCTAAATATATTCATTGATAAAATTGTTGCAGCTCTGTTTAAGGAACGGTGTAAAACCAAGAATCCCATACTTTTAACATCTGTCTTTTAGCAAAGAGAAAGTTCAGGGGTGATCTGAGAAGACAGACTGCTGATATGTCTGGAGGTTCATCCAACTATAAGTAAGCCTGCAGGGTAGTTCAAGGGCATTGTCCTGGGAAGCACAGCCACCACCTCCCTACCCTTAACTTGGGTGGACTCAGTGCCGCCCAACATTTCCATAAATGTGCTTATTGAAGTCAAGCTTGCCTATTTATAAATACGTAAGAGTAAAACGTTTCAAAGGGTGAAGCAGGCCTCAGGGGGCAGGGGTAAAGCCCAGTGTAGCTGCAGGTAAATCTAACGTGAGAGCCAGAGCCCCAGATCCATGCCAAACTCACCAGAATAGCGGAAGCCTTTTGGCTCTCCCCTTCCTGACAAGCGTTACCGGTGAAGCCGAAGAAACGACTGACTGCCTGGGACTTTCTCCCCCACATTCTGAACCATTTGAAGAGGAATCCTTAATCAGGACAAAGGGACAAGCCTCAAGGTCTGTCCCTAGGACACTGGGCACCATTGTCCTCTTCACACAAAAGGGCCAACCAAAGCAGCGTGCCAGCGGGTCACCTTCTAACTAGGAAAATGGGGATATTTACCAGAGCCAGTCTGTCACCTCAAGGTACATGTGGGTCTGTTGGTTTTAGCTGCTCCACACTCATGGTAGAGGAATGGACTTGGCGGTAACAGCTAGGACTGGAGGGCCAGCGGGGAGAAACCAAGCCCATCACTGATGACGTCACAATGTCCCACTGTCCGAGGGTATGCACCCTGGGCCTCCCTGCCCAGCCCAGCCCAGCCCAGCCCAGCCCAGCCCAGCTTTGTCCCTCCTACAGGAGACTGTAGCTCAGCCCAGTGTCTGTCTTGGACAACTCTAATTGGTTGCAAAGAGGGAATTCATTGAAATCGTAATGGCTTTGAGGTTGTTTTAAGCCATTAGTGTACTACTTGCAGTAGTACAGTGGATGATTCAGGAGTACTCTGAAATCCAGGCTGTTTGT